TAATGCCGTATTCGCCGCGAAAATACCTATCGTTAATGTCCGCGAACTGCATCTCCGGGCCCTCAGTGGCCGATTTGTTTTTGAGTCCGGGGGCCGCCTCCGCATTCCACTCACGGACCGTCAGAGCGCTGCAATCGTCGCCGATGTTGTACCAGCGGATGACCGGTTGTAGGGGCAGCCGTCGCAAGCCTTCTTCATAGATGTAGCGCACCAATGGTGGTGGAGGTGGAGCTGCCTCAGCCCCAGCGGCGTTGGCTCCCTGACCACCACCTCTTCCTCCCCGACCACCACCTCTTCCTCTCTGATTACCACCTCTTCCTCGACCTCTGTCTGCCATAGATATGTGTCTTATCTCTTGCGATACTATTCCTCGAGAATTATCTTTATTTGTATTACAATTTTCAATGCTTTTGTGATTAAATTTTTAAACGGTTTTCTTTGAATTGAATTGAAATTAGTTTTTATATTCAATAAAAGTTTTGTTATTTTCAAAAATTATTTTGTTTAAAAACTTTGTATACAAGTTATAATTATTAGATAATCAAGATAATTGATGTAATTAAGTAATAAATACTATAATTGAATCAAACGTTTCAATAAATTGTGCACAATTTTTATACAACACATAAAACACATACAAATGGATAGAAAAACTATTTTATTTGAAAACATTTTTTTGAGACAGTAATCGATTGACTAATACTTGTGGTGTAAAACCTATTCAGATATTGAGTGGACAACGGATCTCACACATCACCTCATCATTCATCATCCCAATTGGGAACGTACTCCGGGGGCGCGTAGTATACAGTCTTGCATTCGCCAATCTGTTTGGGTCGACCGATATTGTCAGTTGTCTTCCTGTAGACCCAGCCATTGACGCCCATATAGGCATTCTCCCCGTCGTACGGGTGCTTTTGCTGGCCATCGAGTCGTTTCTCGTACTGATAGACCGGATGCGGGTGCGGTTCGGTCTGCCTTTTGTGCAAACCAGCGGTCGTTCCGCGTATATCGTATAGATAGCCGTCTGGAAGGGAACCCTCAGTGGGGCCGGTGTTGACGAAACCGTTTGCGAGAACTGACAAATAGTCGGACTTTCGGTATATTTTGTCGCCAATGAGGTCGTACTGAACGAGCGGCCAGTCGGGCGGCATTGGCGGCGCGCATCCCTTTCCTGACCATTCGGTCATTTGACGGCTCCGGTATATGACGGGCAACGGTGTGCGCTCGACAGCGGTTTGCGGCCGATTCTCTGTGTCGGTAAACAAGGGGTAAGCGGCGAGAATATCGGTGAGCACTTGGCGTTCGTCCCCATTCACGCCCACAATCTTTTCGCACATCTTTTGGTCCGGAGCTGTAAATTCGTGTCTTTTCTCACAAAACTTGACATTCATTCGGACATTTGACTCGTGCAGGCATTCGTACGAATGCCGGGCCTTAATCTCTTCAATGCCGGCGGCCCAGTCCTCGATGGCCACAAACCATCCGCCCTCTGGTATGCCTAACACACACTTACGCTCCTGAGTGAGCACATCGTGACGGATATCAAGTCTCCATGCGATGGACCCGTACTCGGACTCCAGGGGTGCGAGAAATACTACAGGATTTTTAATTGCGGCCAATTTTGTTTGCAATTTCTGTGATAAGCCGGTGAACCAATGACCGGCGTCTTTGACCTTTTTGTCACTGTAGACGTGCGTGTGGTGTATCTGCTCCTTATAATGTATAGGCGCGCCGAACAACAGTTGTCCCCTCCCGGCCACTATACCTCCCTGTTGGACGAGCACCCGGTTGTGTCCACCCTTGTCGTTCACCGGTCCGTTGTACGGATCCATTACCACCAATTTAGCGCCGGCGCACACATACAACGCCCAACACGTGTTGGCCTCAAGTATAGGCGCCTCCGGTGGAGCCTGTGGTGCCGGTGGTGCGGGTGGTGCCGGTGGGGCAGCGGCGGCCTTTGTCTTGGCTTTAATGCCTTTTTTGCTCGTTTGACTTTTTGGATTTGGATTTTGCTTTTGCTTTTGACTCTTCTCTTCCATTTGTTTGACCTGTTTTTGGTGATCGTTGAGCTTTTTTTGGTAACTGTTGAGCTTATTTTGGTGCTCTCTGTGCTGTTTGTCGTAAACGGTCTGCTTTTTCTTGTAATCTGCGAACAAATCGTTGTACTCTTTGGTCAACTTTGTCAACAAGTCGTCCATCTTTGGGTCAGTCAACTCCCAGACGTCGCCCCATTTCCGGCTGTCCTGATAGACGCCGGTTCGCACGTAATACCGGTCGCCTTTGTCGTACTTCTGGGGCTTATCATCGGGCGGCCCGTCGTATACCAGTCCCAGTGTGAGCCAATAGTAGCCCACGTATGATTTGTATGATTGGCCATCTTGTTCTTTCCAGACCTCTTTGTTAGTGTTGGCCACGGGTCGGGCGGTCTCTTCGCTCCGCTCAAAGCGCACCGTCGGGTAGAGTGCGTTCACATTGGCGAGATTACCCCACCACGACTTTTTGGGGTCATGCGACGAGGGACTTACGCGCATCTCAATCATGCCTACGGCACCCAATTGATCGCAATAGACGTGCCAACCGTACTGTTGTCGGGCCCTAGTTCTCCAGTACGGTTCCACCTGATCGCCAGGATAGTATTGGTACACCGGTTGGTTGTTGGCGTTCACTCCCGTCACTGTCTGCCCCATATAGAAGAGGCCACTGATTTGACACCCGGTGTACTCATTGGTGTAAAACCTTTTAGTGCCGTTCGCATGTAAATAGCCGTAGCGTCCGTTCACATACTTGTCGCCTAAAACGGCAAACGCCAGGGGCTGGCCCGCCATCGCTGGCAGTTTGCGCTGTCGGGCCGCCACAAAGTTACTGCTGGGACTGTTTGTATCTTTGGTGTGTATGACTGGCTGTAGGGCCCGGCGCTGCAAACCGGGCTCATTTAGGTAATGCATCGGTTGTGGTGGCGGCTGTGGATTCGCTTCAGCCATTCTTCTGGATCTGCTGTTTGTGTCTGTTTTTCAAAACCACTGTTTGTTTGTCTCAAGAGATTGATGTTTAAATTTTGAATCGGATTTTGTTTTGTGTTTAGATTTTTTTACAAAACAATAGTTTTTCAGAATTTATATTTAGAAAATATTTATTTATTTATTTCATGTTTTTTAAAATTTTTAATGTTTACTTGATTTGTAAATAAAATAAAATAAATAATTTGAATGCATTTTTAAAAAGTTATTTTGTTGCAATTATAACTCTGTTATTAAGCAGAGCAAATTTTAAAATATAAAAGTTCAATTAATTACATTTTTTAGGCATGGTTATTCTATGCATAAATAACTACGATAAAAATATACAGAAAATATAATAATTAATTTATGTTTAACATATGCTCTCGTATGCAAAGGTATAAAACTAGATGCTTTTTATAGTAAAAATTATTGAGCAAAAAAAATTATTATAATTTTTGATAAACATATTATAACAATAAATTGCAATTTATATAGTTAACTGTTGCAATTAACTATAACATTTAATTGTTATTGTGATTGTACAATTATTGTAAACTAGCAATATGTGGAAAATAGTAGCTCTAATGATCACGATGTTTGCGATACAGGCCTGGCCTCTGGACACTGGACTAAACCAAACAAATCAAACCGCAGTCAAACCTATAACCATTGAAAATGACCCAGCTGAACTAGTGCACCTTGATGCCTTTTGCCCATCCAATTGTCATATTGACCTAAACAGCGTGTGGGGACAAACTGTTATGCGAAATATATTTCAGGCTATTAGCAGAGTTCGTACTAACCTGACTTTCCTGAATTTTGTACTATCACAAGGATCATGTGCAAGTTGTACACTCACATTGCATTTGGTTGATGGTGGTGGGGTAAGTGTGATTTGTTATAAGGTTGTTAATTAGTCTAGATTAATTGACATTATGTTTAATTATAGGTGTCGTATAGATGTAAAGTAAGAATCTATGATGATGGCACACATACCCACACTTTTGATATAGGTAGAACTGAATGTTATCAAGCTTGATAATTGAATATTATTTTAGCATGATAACTAACTGATAAAATTACTTATGTTGAATTATTAATCAAGAAATATCAAATTTAAGAATCTCAATAAAAATACATATTTTGAATCATATGTTGAGTTCTATCAGTATTTGCTATTTTATTAATTATATTATTTTATATTTTACATGTGCCAATAAATTTGGTAAATGCCATTCATGTTTTAAGCGATATACTGAGATGCGTGTAAATTCTGGACTTTCCATAAATAATATTCTTTAGACATAACAACATATTTCTTATCGTTTATTCATTATTTTATGTATTTCATAACAATTAGTAAATCGTATTCACAATCCAGTATTCAAGTGATTGTATGTAATAGCAAATTCATAATGTGTTAAACAATTTGATTGTTCATAATTATAAAAACAATGTTTGAGTTTAAGTATTAGATTACTATTTGTATAATACATTAGTAGAATTCTTGTGCAATGAATATGATTTCTATTTCATGTCAATACTATATTTAATAGTGGAGTATTAAAGTAACATAGGTGTAATTAATCTAATCAAATACCAAGTACTTAAAAACAATATAGTTTATTAATATTTGTTTTATATTTCTAAACTTTATCAGATGGCTAATGTTATTGTGCAAGTATAATTTATTGTTTGCAAGTTTATTTTGATTTATGGCATTGGTTCGAACATTATTAAGTAAACATTTTGAATTAAAAAATATTTTTAATTAATGCAGATCGAATACGTTTTAGACACAACTATTTACAATGTGAATTCGCAGAATTTTTATAATTAATTTATTTAGCAGATGCGCTTGTTTTGTAAAGCTATATAATCTCGGTAATAATCAGGATGTACAATATTTAGCAGATATACGTGGACAATAATTCTTAATTCAACCATATTGTTTATTATACTATAATTAAACTAAATATGTGGAAAATTGCAAGCTTGATGATCGTGATGCTAACGATGCGGAGCTGGGCTGAGGACACCGCAGTTGACCCAACGCCGACCACCGTTGAAACAAACCCTGATGACACCGATCTGAACGCTTTATGCGAGCCCGCGTGCAATCTTGATCTAAACCAAGGTTGGGGCCAAACTGTACTGGACAATATGCTAGATGCGATTAATCAAACGCGAACGAACTTGAGTTTCCGCCGTATTCTGGCTAAAACACCACTCGGTAATACTCGCAATTGTGATGTCACCATACAATTGGTTGATGGAGGAGGGGTGAGTTTGGTTGAAGTAATTGTTTATTGGCCTAGATTAATTTTATTTATGTGTGATTACAGCGACAATACGTATGCGATGTCAATATCTACGATGACGGCACCAGTACCCATACATACAATATCGGTAGAGTGACCGGCTGTTAACATGGTAGCTTATGAAGTATTATTTTACTTGGGTTATTTAATGTTACAACGAACCACATTAAAATTATATTTTTGTTTAACATTTTTGTCTAAATTGTCATTAAAATATGAATCTTTTTAAAGTATATAATATTTTGGGCTAAATTTTTAATTTGTTTTAAAAATTAACAAAATTGTGCATTTTATTTGGTGTACATTAAATGTAACAAAACAGTATACAATTATAATAAAAAATCTAAAAACAAGTTTATATTTAAACTCATTGTTTGTCTTAAGGGTTTTGAGTTTAGATTTTGATTCAGATTTTATTTGGTTTTTATTCACAAAATAATATGTTACTAAATATAAATAATTTTAATGATATTTTTATGACATTTTGTATAATGTTGCATATTATCATAAATACACACCTGTTATTTATGTAATTAATTAATAATTATAAATGGTTATTCAGTATATGTACAGTACATGCTGTTTTGAATTATTTTTATGCAGAATTTTTATATTTTTACCATTAAATCTACTTCTATTTATGAAGAATTTAATAACAAAATTAATATAATTGTTTAAAATTTATGATTATTTTTGATTTATATGTTTGAGTCAACTGACAATTAATTAAATAAATAGATTTATATTGACATTAATGTATATGCATAAGCACATATTGTTTTGCTATGTTAAATTTAAAGCCCTGTAATAAATCTTTAATAATTTAAAATGTTTTAAAGTTTAAAGGTTTTTAGCAGTAATAGTACAAAACAATTAATTTATGAATTCAACTAAAATAACAAATAAGCAGGTAAAATCACAGAATTTGTTCACGATTTATTTAATTAACAAGCAAATACTAGTGTTATTGGATTTAAGTTATACCAGAATGTACTTGCGTTGTATAATAATATAATTAACTTATTATTGTCAAACAAATCTATATAAAAATTAATTAAAACACTTTTGTTAAGGTAAATAATTAACAATATTATTTAATAATAAAAGTTTAACAATCTAATAAGGGGACACACAATTAAATTTTATCATGGTTACGAAAAAATACATATTTGGACACTTTATATTTAGCAGTGCCACACTTATACGACCCAAATGTCACACAATGTAAAGTTGTCACATGTCCCAAATGTCACACTTTATACAATAGCTTACTGCCTTATTTGCTAATTACAGTATTACCATATTTATACTACTTTTATCGCAACATTACATGTTTTAAGCATAAAATTAATAGTCGCTAACATTAAGAACACATTAATTTAGAAATTCATATAAAACTAATTTTATTTGTGACTATGTTTTTGAAATAAAACTTTTGAGAAATACTTGTGGTGTATATAAAACTTTGCTACAAATAACAATGCATTGCACTTTTACTGAGGGCCGGCCGGTGCTGTATTGGGCCGGTAGTAATCCGTTTTACACTTGCCAATGGGAACGGCTTTGAATGGCCTTTCAATAGTCTTCCCAAAGTAAACCCAGCCATCGATACCCATATACTCCAGTGAATTGTCAAAGGTTGGACTCGGGTGGGCCCCTCGATTGGCACTCTTCTCGTACCAGTTCACCACCACATCATCAACTGTCCCGCCCTTCTCGTAGAACTTGTATGTGTCGGGCGTCGTCTCATCGGCACCCGGTGTCAAATCGTACAGACAATCGGCCGGAATGTTGACGTCCGCCGTGTGTTTGGTTTTGACGAAACCGTTGGCCATAAACCCGAGTTCTGTGCCACTCCTGTAGTCATAGAAATTCCTGTAGTCGACGAGCGGCCAGTCGGGCGGCATCGGGGGCCTCACCTTCTCCTGCTTACTGAACGCGTAGTTCCATTCAGTCATTTTGCGGCACTTGTATAGCACGGGGAGCGGCGACAGGCGGTTAGCCTCTGGTACCGACGAGCGCACGGGTTCAGTAGCAAAGATATTGGTGCTGACAGTGCGGTCCTCACCCACGCCGACAATCTTCTCGGCCATGGCTTTGATGGGCAGTTTGAAGTGACGACTTTGCCGATAGTGGACGCTGTCGTCCATTCGCACGTTCGACCGGTGCAACCCTTCGTACTGGTGTCGGGCCTTTAGCTCCGCGATACCGTCTTTCCAGTCCTCGATGGCCACAAACCATCCGCCCTCTGGTATGCGCAGTACACAGGCGCGCGGCTGACTCTTATCCGGGTGATAGATCTTCAAACACCAGGCGATGAACCCGTACTCGGACTCTAGGGGCCCGAGAAATAGCACCGGATTCTTGATTGCGGCCAACTCTTTGCGCCGTTGCTCTGACAGGCCGTCGGCGCCGATCTCTAAGAGTTTGAAATACTTTTCCTCGTTTTCGAAAACGGGTGCACTGAACACAAGTTGTCCCCTCCCGGCCACTACACCTCCCTGTTGGACGAGCGACCGGTTGTGGTGCTCGTCAGTGATGACGCTGTTGTACGAGTCAAAGACCATGAGTTTAGCGCCGGCGCACACATACACTGCCCACCGGTGCTCATCAGCCGGCGCTTTGGTGGCGGTGGGGGCTGTGCTCGCGGTGTTCATTTTTGGTAAGGCGCCGGACGCCGGCTGTGAGGGCAGGACCACCGGCGAAAAGGTGATCTTCCTCTCCAAGTCATGGAAATTACTGTCCATTGTCTCGTCGGTCATTTCGTAGACGTGTCCCCACTCGCGCTTAAACTCGTAGACCCCTTCGCGCGTGTAATACCGGTCCCCTTTCGAGTAGTTCTGATCGGTGGGCGGCCCCTCGTATACCAGGCCTAGTGTGAGCCAAAAGTGACCCATCCATTGGCTTCTGCCGCCGTCCTCATCGTGGTACCAGAAGATGTAGTTCCACTTGTCGTCACCGGTTTTTTTTGTAAGCTTCATGGGCTCTAAGCGCACCGTCGGGTACAGCGCGTTGATTGTCGCCCTTTCCGTCCATTTGCCGCCCACACAACCGGTGCTCACTTTTAGCGACCGCACGTTTACAGTGGCGTCTCGGGAGCAGTACACGTGCCAACCCAACTGCTGCCGAGCGGTGTCCGCCCATTACCGGTTCTCTTCGGCATCGGTGATGTGCTCATTCAACACACCATTTCTGTCTCGATAGGCGCCCGTATAGAAGAGTCCGCTGATCTGACAGCCGAAGTACTTTATGACAAAATAGGGCTTTTTTGTGGGTCCGTATTGCGCAATCAAATACCGGTCATCGAGTCGGGCGAACTCCAGTACCTCCGGCGCCGGGGCGCCAGTGTCCGCCTCGGCCTCATCTATTGCTCCTTTGATAAGCCGTCGGGCCAGTAATCTACTTTTGTTACTGGTGTAATAGCTGGGCCGTATTACCGGTTGTATCGCCAGTCGACGTAATCCTATGTCCGGCAACACCCATTGATCTGACCTTTCGTTGCGCTTTTTCCATAACTGTTTCGAGGCCTGGGCTTTGTCTGCCCCGCCGACCGCCCCCTCACCGGCATTACTACCCGCGCTCTGTTTCGCGCTCTGCACTCCACTACTACCACCAGTTTTGCTCGCAGTCCGTCCGTCCTTTGCCGGGCGCCCACTGTCTGACCCATCGCTGCTTTTACTATGAGTGACACTTTGCTGTGACTGCCGGCGCTCTACGGACTGTTTGTTGCGCTCATCGACCGATTGGTTTTGTTTGCTTGACTTGTGTTCAGCGGACTTCTTAGCCGAGTCCTGACTGCCTATACCCTTCTTTTTTGGTCGAGTCCTGACTGTCGGCACCCTTTTTAGGCAATGCTTTACTATCTGCGGACTTGTTAGCCGACCCCTTGACTCCGCCCTTCTTGGCCGCCCCCTTGTCGGCACCCTTTTGAACCGATGCTTTACTATCGGTGGACTTGGCTTTCTTGTTCTTCTTTGGCATTCTTCCGGATCTGTTGTTGTGATTGTATTTCAAAACAATCTGTTTGTTTCAAGAGTTTTATGTTTAAATTTTACAATCAATTTGTTTGGTTTGAATTTTAGAATATTTTTAAACAATAAATTAATAACATTAACAAAAACTAAAAAATGTTTTTGTTTTAATTGACCATTATTGTTAATGTACACTATAATAATTTGCATGTAAATAAAGCCTTATTAAAATAATGCTATATTTAGTTATATTTCGATTTTTATAAAATACAAACACTTATACCAATATGTCAGATTTTGCTTGTACAGGTGCATTTATCTTAAACTTACTCGTTGAAGTAATTATATTGTTCACATAGATTATTAACAATAAAAACACATTTATATCTAAACTGTTTTAATTTATTTAGAGCTAAAACTATTGAGAAATACTTGAAGTGTTTGTAAAACGGGGTACAATCGGCGCCTATCCCTAAATGTTAAAACATATGTCTTAGGCCTTTCCGAGGACTTGTATTTCTAACAAACATTAGCCTAGAGTTGACCAGAAGAGTCGCCGTGGGTTTACTAGTCACCCGACGGGGCGGTACCGGTGCTCATCCCATAGCCAAACGCACAATAGGCTCTTTGCTATTTTCTTTGTACTTTATTTGGTAAACTCAGCCATCGATACATTGTAATAGTGTTTATGATTTAAATGGTCATTTCGGGAAACATCATTTTAAAACTAAAGTCAAATATCTATACTGTTTACCGAATGGTTTGTGTGATTTGGTTCATAACACAGATAGTTGACAGCATTGGCATTTGTAAGTTAGTAATAACTACAGTAGATTAATGCTGCAGTAATTTTTATATAATTGTCACAATGATAACAGTTATAAAATAAATTAAGAGAGAGAGAGAGAGAGAGAGAGAG